CCACAGCAGGGTTGCATGCACCCGTCAGGAGGGACAGAACTCGCACCCTAAGTGAGAAGAAAACCTGAAAGGCCCCTAACCCACCTCCTCACCGCTGGACGTGCGTGACCTTAGGTGCCAAGAGCTGTGCTGACGAGCCAACACTACGGATCTCAAGATGGGGAGACTGTCCTGCCCTATCTGCCTGTGCCCAAACACAGGCACAAGTGTCCTTATTCACAAAGGAAGCAGAAGGAAGGATGTCGGCAGGAGTCCCGGGCTCTCCTGACTCCACAGCATCGACTCAACAGCTATCCACTCAATCTGCTTTGCAGAAACCTGAAACCTTGGGAAGCTCCTGCACACCAGCCAGGTGCAAACTCGGATGCCTGCCTGGGAAATCCAGCACAGCATCCAGTGTCTACCCAGGGAGGGAGGCACATGTGTGTCCAGTGTCCCAGCTTTCTCCGACACCAGCCCCAGAATCAGATCCAAGCTGGTGGGACCCAGGGAACTCCAGCTGCCCGCTGTGACTTGGGCAGTGGGTCCCCAGGGCCACCCACCTCACCGTGGGGAGGGCAGAGGTGACTCATGCTGTGGAACTGGCCACATCTGCCCTGGGCTCAGAGAGGTGAGCGGACTGGCACAGTATAGCCTCCAGGGCCACCACAAGAAGCAAAGGGGGAGGAGAGGGTGGCAGGAGAGTCAAGGGTGACAGGTGGTCGCGCTTGTCACCCAAGGGCGTGCACCTGAAGAATCCCTGGTGGTGGATGGAGCAGGAGTGTCCCAGGAGAGGCCATCGATGGGGTGGCCACTCTGTCTGACACACAGGCAGTCAAGAAGGATGAAAAGAAGCAGACATTTCCCAAAGAAGGAAAACACCAGCCTCCAGAAGTGACACTCAGGGAATGGAAATGTATGACCTACCCGACAGAACTCAAAATAAAATAATAAATAAAATAAAACAAAATAAAGAACTCAAAATAACCACCTCCAGATAAGTTCCTCACGAGCAGGCTCACCTCTGCACAAAGTCACTTGCAGAAGCCCTGAATTAGCAAAGAGCGGGAGTAACCGAATGACTATCAAGGCCAGTCCAGTTAAATGAGTGGACTTTAACTGAAGAAATTATGTACTGGTATGAGAAGATCTTCAAGTTGTAGTGCCAACAATAACATATACCGTGCTACAATTCTTAACAAAAAGGAAAAATGGGAGCAAAAGACAGATGCCTATCAGGAAGAGAAAGGAAGATTTTTCCCTTTCGCACCTTTAAAATTATGAGCTATGTGAGTGGGTTACTTTTTAAGAGAATGCACAATTTTATTTTAAAAAATACTTAAACAGCCAGGCATGATGGTGCACAGCCATAATCCCAGCACCTGGGAGGCTGAGGCAGGAGGATCGCTGTTGAGTTTGAGGCCAGCCTGGGCTACAGAGTGAGTTTGAGGCTAGCCTAAACTCCTTAGTGAAATCCTGCCTCAAAAATACAAAATAAATAAACAAATATCACAAAAACTTCACCCGAGTCAATCATTAAAAATTATAATAAATGATGGGATGTAAATACAGTCATATTAAGCAACAATTACAAATAAAAGCTATGCAGCAATATTAAAGTTCTTTCACAATGTCACATCCAACAAACAAGAGTACAAAGGAAAAGATTAAGGCGTTCACTATACAAAGCCCCATCTGCTCTCACCGCTCTCAATCTTTGTGCTTTGGCCCAAGCAGCTTCCCAGCAGCTCCCTGAGAACACCATGCTCCCACCTGCCTCAGCTCCAGGGTCCACGCCATGACACTCTCAAAGCAACACGGCACAGTCCTCAAAACTCAGCTGTCCCGCTGTCACCCAGGGAGATTCCTCCTTGTGGAGCTCCACGCTAAGCAAGTACGACACATGTGCCCGGCACACAGGACTGAGCCTCGGACGCCGCCCTGGTCTCAGCTCACCAACGGCAGGAGCCTCACAGGAGGAATGGCAAGAGGGGAAGACCCGAGGACACCCGAGAGGATTGACTGCCAATGACCAGAGACCTCACTGAGAACAGCGTGCTCAGGAGGCTCTGGGCCTGCAGAACGAGTCCAGTCTCAGGACTTTTTGTTCTCTGTAACTTCATCACCTTTCCTTAGCCATACTCACAGGTAGAATCTAAACAGAACAGAACTCAAGCACGTTTCCCTGTCACCTTAGGTTTTTGTTTTCTCTTTTTCTTTTTCTTTTTTTTTGTATTTTGATATTTTAAATACATAAACATTTAAAACACTGCCTGGTTGCAAGTCTGTACTGTACATATCCCAGGGTCCAGCCACGCTGTAAGAAAAAGCTACCACCACCACAAAGCCACTCAGGCCACCACAACAGGAAGCAAATATGCACACGTGTGAGCTGATCCTTGAATTTGCTTTTCTGCAATTTTCTTTTAAAATTGAAAATAAAAACTATATCATTTTGGTGTTTACCACAATGTTCTGACACCTACTGAAATGGCGTATCATTCTTTCTGGTGGAACAGTAACTTTCAAGTATAGGATACACTATCTTTAACTACAGTATCTTGTCACCCAACAGACCTCTCAAACTTGTTCTTCCCAACTGAAACTTGGTATTTCTTGACTAACTTTTTTTTCCCTAATGTCCTCCATCTTTACCACTCTGTAGTTTTCCAAATTTATTATTTTTATAGTAAAAATATACTTTTTTTAAAAACCTGCAAACAGTACCTCTTACCCAGATAATTCCGTTTCTAGGCCATAGGAGAGAATAAAGAACAGGAACATGAATCCCTCTATTTAAATTAGGTCTGACAAGAAAAGGGAAGGACTCTTTGTAACAAAGGACTCAGATTCTTACCTAGCTCAGCCCAGGTGAGTGAGTTACAACTTTCAGCCACCGACAGAAAGAGGAAGAAACTGCAGTTTCTGAAAGCAACACCACCAAGTTACGACATGATGTTATCGCGCCAAAAAGAGACAGCACAAGCCTGCAACCTCAGAAAATCAGGCTCCCAACATGCATCTCGAGATGAAGCCAGACGCCTATCCTACTTTACTTGCAGAAATGCATCTGAGCAGCTTTCAAAGCATAGCAGCTGAGCACATGGGCGTGGGAACAGACAGGACCGCTCCAGTCAGTGTCAAGAGGCCTGGTCCAGCCTTCCTTTCACTGCCAGCTGGGACCCAGCCCTGTTTCTCCTCCCCAGTCCAGGGCAAACACGGACAAGCGCAGAAGCCCGGGCACCCACGGCCAACTTGACACAGTTTCTCAATGTGCACAGTGGAGCCAGAGTCCCTGCACTCAGCACCTCATTAGGTTATAGTCCCTGCACTCAGCTATATCATTAGGTTATACAGTGGTATCTGGGTTCACAAACTTCTCTTTCCATGATTCTGGTTACAAATCCAGATGGACAAGAACCGAATGCTTAGGTTCAATGCTGACCTTGTGGGGAGATTGAACGTGTTCTCATCTAGTGCACTCTGCAACGAGAATCACAGAGAGAACCTAGTTTGTGAACTGAGGTATCACTGTATTTAGTTTTTCTTCAACTACAAAGAGAATAAGTTGACTTCCACTAACATATTCAGAAAGATCTGCTTCTCACAGACATTTGTGTCTGTTAGGACTTTTGTTTTTCTCATTAAAATAACAAATTTCTAAAAAGCAAGATGGAAACCTAGTCAGCCGGGCATGGTGGCGCACGCCTGTAATCCCAGCACTCGGGAGGCTGAGGCAGGAGGATCGTTGCTAGTTCGAGACCAGCCTGGGCTACAAAGCGAGCTCAAGGTCAGCCTGAACTGCCTAGGGAGACCCTGTCTCAAAAAGACCAAAAAAAAAAAAAAAAAAAATGGAAACTTAGTCTTTAAATATTTTGTTCTACTCTTCACATTAGCTGAGGTACCAAGTTCCAAATCCCTCACCCAAGCAGCCAGACCCGCACCTGAATCACCATCCGAACCTCCAGTCAAAAGCTGAACACACTGACATTTGGAGCAGGAGAAAAATAATGACCTGGAAAACCTGGTCAGAGAGCTACAGCACAGTGAGCCTGAAGTCCAGAGTCGAGACCTCACTTTCCCGTCTCACACCACCCTCTGCACAGCTGGGAGATTCCTGGGAAACTTGCCTCATTTTTCTAGGCCTTGGTTTCCCTGTCAGGCTTCCTGCGCAGGATGCTGAGAAAGAAAATCAACACCACAGAGAGTGAGCCGAGAATGTGGCCCCGCCTCGGATGCCCCTCACCAGTCGCACTCTGCACTCTGCACTGAGCCCACGGGCACCAACTGCCAGGTGCAACAGAGGTTTTTCACTCGGTGTCCACCACTGCAGGAACTGTTTATTCTGAGAAGTGTTGCAGAGGAAAGAGGAACAGAGAGGAAGGAAGACTACAAACAAGAATTACGCAAGCAACACGGTGAAGCACTCCAAGTGGAGAGGGTGGAAGAGCACCGGCGACAGCAGCAAACAGAAGCAAATCAAAGCACCCATGCGGCAGCCCGTACCTTCCCATGCCAACCGAGAACCATTCACAGCAAGCAACAGAACTCCCCACACCTACACAAACAACAGGAAGAGAAGTTCCTACAGCTCCTAGAATATCACAAGACGAGATGAAGAGTGCAAGCGTCTCCAAAGCACGGTACAGGTCCCGGAGGGGCAACAGCAGGACATGTCTCTGTCACCGCTGTCACTCGGATGGAGACGTATTAAGTACCCCCACTCCCTCAAGCAAACAGAGAGCATCCTGGGACAGAAGAGGGCGAGAGGCTCACCAGGCCCCTGCACTGCGCTCACAGAAGAGGCCACAGCAGCGTGCTGGTATGAGGATCCAGACAAGAGCTCATTTTAACTCAGAGATGTCATTCGCGACTCAAATAGACAACCGCTGTGTGTTTTTAGGCATCTGAATGATACAGAGCAGGAATGTCTGATGTGTGGTTTACATACTCAGACCACATGAGGACAAGAAGATCACCCCACTTTCACTTCCCCACACAACTGAAACTTCAGAACTTACTGGACTCTACCGTCATCTGCAGCAAACTGTCAATGACATTGGAGAGGAGGCCCTTGCTGGATATCCGCAGATGCCCCAGAACCACTGGAACTGCTTGGTACTCCAGAAACAAGGCTTTCCCTTCATCTGTCTTCAAGTCCACGCAAAGGGAGTCAAACGCCTGGGCCAGGTAGTCAGCTGGAAAATAAGGGAAGCCCACCCGTGTCAGTGACCGGCATCTCAACAGCTACGTAAACAGGTGCAGAGCGTCATCACCAAAGCCAAAGCAAGGCGTGAAGATTCAGGGCATGGAGCGGCCGGTGAGCCCAGACCCACTCCCCCAACTTGTTAGAACCCAGACGGGAAGGGGAGAGGCATCACACTGTGGTGGAGTAAATCCCACTTAGAATTTCTGTATTTCAGCACTAAAATAACTAAGTTCCTTTCCTATATCAACAAAGAAAATCATTAATATTAAATATCATGAGTAGTATTTTACATATTTGGTAACTACACACTTCCAAATATTTAAACAGCATTACTATTTCTCTATTTCCAACAGCTTCTAAAATTGTATTTTTTGTTATAACTTAAATACTTACCTATTTCAAAACATAAGTTTATACAAACTTGCCAAGTGGTTTTGGGAAAGGATTTCTGTCTCATACTGAAGAGGAAACACCATGCCACTCAGAGACAACTGCAGGAGACAGGACGCACGCTGGTATGCTGCCTTCTGTGTCGCATCTGTCACTAAGGCTGGAGCAAAGCTTTAGCAAGGATGGTGCCATGATAGCACCTGCTGGGGCAACCCTAGAACTCTATCACCATGCTCCACAGGCCATGAGGAGGCTGAGTCAAGATGAGACACTGATGTGAGCAGACTCCCTAGGACCGTGCCATCACTAATGTCACCATCACTGTCGCAGGGCAGTGGGAGCTTGTGCTCTGAAATGTAAAACCTCCTCCCACTTCCCATCCAGGGATAAAACACTGTCCCTGCCGAGCGCCATCCCCAGAAAAGGTCTGAAGCCCCTGGAGGTGCTGCAGCACAGCAGCCTCCAGCCTGCAGCTGTGCTAACCATTAAAGAAATGGTTAATGTGAGATGCTGACAGTAACTGGTAGGATATTACAATGAAGGGATTTTTGAGAAAGACCTGCACTTTCCAGCCCACGTACAGTCACTCTATTTTTACATTTGGTAGAACTTAGTTCAAGGAACACTACCATCATTGCACTTAATTCTTGTGGTGGCTTGACCACTGGTGGTCAACTTATAACCCCCAGCTGAACTGAGTAAGCGTGATGTTGGGTGTGCGAGGCCCACCTGAGGACTTGCCAACAGTGTAAGAGGTAGAACTGGAGAAGTTAGACTGTTGGGAGCAAAGGCTGTTGGGAGCTGACAGAAGCTGTAAGGAGCTGTTTGGTTGTTTTGGAGGAGCTCGTCATGCTGGCTTTCCTGGTGAACTTCGCTGTTTTCATCCTCAGAGGAGCTCGTTGGTACTGAGAATGGCTTTGGTTCACTTTGGGGGAGCTCTGGTCCTCACTTCGAACATTGCTTCCTGGCTCCGGTGGGGAAGATGGTACACTGCAGGGCTCCTGGAGAAACTTGTTGCATTGGCTTCCCGGATGGGAACTCGGCCATCTTGATCATCGGAGGAGCTCGGGACCTCACTGTTGCTGATGGCGGCTGTGGTATCTTTTGGTGGAGCTCTGGTTCTTCTGAGCATCCCTTCCTGGCTCCAGTGCTGATCCCTCAGCCTGCTAGCACAGTTCTTTCATCCTGCTGGCACAGACTTCCTAGATTCCACCACTGACCTTTGGGCCTGCAGATCCGTGAAACAGACCTACATAGGATATTGTCATGGGCTCTGGGCCTCCAATTGGACTCGTGGGAGGCATTGTTATGAGCTCTAGGTCTTCAGCTGGACTCATGTAGGACATTATCGCAGGTCCCAGCCTGGATTCCTAGTCTATAGTGTGTGGACAGATTTCTTGCACTCTCTCGTATATGATTCTTTGGGTGACTATTATAAATAATCTTAAAATATGTGTCCTGTATTATATTGTTCTCCCTTGCAAAAAACCCCAAACCAACACAATTCTACAATTAAAAAATAAACACTGCAAATGTATACTAAGTTAAGCAAAGTTTATTTATTTGTTTATTAGCAACAATACAGGCAAAAAACTAGATGAATACTGAACTTGTTACAGAATCAAAAGTTTTGTCACAGCGCCACCTAATGTATCTGACACAAATTACTTCTTATTAATATACATTATTACCAAGGTTTTAGGTTGACTACTTTCTTTTTTAAATTTGCAAGCTTTGGGCCAGGGATATAGCTCAGTGGCACAAGCGCCTGCCTGTTAAAGGTAAGGTCTTGAGTTCAATTCCTGGTACCAAAAAATTAAAAATAAATAAATTTGCAAGTTTACAATAATATCCTTTAATAGTTTTTCATTATTTTTGAAAAAGTGACCTTACCTTTTACAGATAAACATGTACTCATCTTAATTTTTCTTTTTGTTTTGTTTTTTCGGGGTTTTTTTGAGACAGTTCAGGCTGGTCTTGAAGTCACTTTGTAGCCCAGGCTGGCCTTGAACTCACAACCACCCTCCTGCCACAGCCTCCCGAGTGCTGGGATTACAGGCATGCACCACCATGTCTGGCAAATTTTCTAATAGTGCAATTCTTAAAAAAATAAGACCAATTTAACTTCCAAAAGTATATTTGAAGTGTTATTAATTATAACCAAAACTTCCTCTCGTAAATATGCTATTTTACTGGTTCTTTTCAAAAGGTCCTGACGTTTAAATGTATCTTTTGGCGCAGACCCCACTGTGCCGGGGCCCCACCGTGGTGGCCAAGCAGCTGGTGCCCGGAAAGGCAGGCAGCAGGCACCGGGAAGCGGCGTGGAGACGTGCTCCGGCCCTCGGGCCGAGAACCGCCACGCCACAGAGAAGCACTGACACAACAGGCCCGCCCGCGACATGCCTGAACCACTCCAACAGGGAGAAACCTCTGGGAAAACATGCCACACAGCGGGTTGCTCTTGGCCCTGCCCTTGAGAACCAGAAAGGTCTGGAGTCAGTGGTGGAGCAGCTGAAGAACAAGGACTCGGAGAACACGAGAGTACTGACACCCGACGACTGGGGACACGGGAGCCACTAGGGAGCTGGAAGCCGGGAGGACCTTGCGCAACACCCGGGCAGACGCCCTGGAGGCCATTCTTCCCCTAACTGTGCGGGGTGCGGTGGAGGAGCAAGTGGAGCTCCGGAGAGGTCTGCACCGAGACTTCATGGATTACATGGGTGCCCAACATTCAGATTGTGTAGAACCACCTTCATGGAGGACCGTTGTCTCCAAGGAGGAGCCCCGTGACATCATGAGTATAGAGGACAAAGTGGACAGCCCGTTGCTGGACACTGGTGCTGGTCTCTCGGTCCTTCTTTTCAATCCTGGCCTTCCTTCCAGCCATTACACCTCAGTGAGGGGACTCACTGATGAGGAGGTAACCCGCTATTTTTCACAACCCTTGGGCTGTAACCACTTGTTGGATCTTTCCTGCACATCTCTGTTTTCCTGAGAAACCACTTTGAGGATGCCAACGTGTATTGCACCAGCCATTGATGATTTCCTACCAATCTGTCCATAACTCTGTAATGTTTGTATTGCTCCTATGCTATTTCGTAAATGGACATACATTTGTTACTATGTGTTTTCAACAACAACCATCGAGAATAGTCAATGATTATTTGATTGATCACTCCTGTATAGCTCTATTTGTTTTCCCTAGAGACCACTCTGGAGAAACCAAGATACAGTACAACAACCATTGATAATTTCCTGCCATTTCTGCCTGTAACTCAATATTATTTATTTGTTTTCCTGAGAAATTGTCTTAAAGATCCCAACAGGTAAAGTAACAACCATTGATAATGTCCTACCACTTTGTCTGTAATTCGGTGTGTCCCCCTACTGCTCTGTTGTCCTTCTTTTACTCTTTAAAATAAAAAAAAATAAAAATATACCCTTTTTATTTTTTACTAAAAGTCAATCTATTAATCTTAATCAGTATGAAATACAGCTTTCCATTACTTCATCTATATGGTAGATTTAAGGGATGAGCAGATTCTCTGCACCCCTAGAAACCTGGTTCACCCACTGCTGGCTGGAAGGTACAGCGGGACCAGCCTGTGGCCAGGAGTCCGTGGTCAGGGAGCCTATCTAGGAGCCCGTGGTCTGGAGCCTGTGGTTAGGAGCTTTGTGCCCACCTGGTCTGTGCCCACAGAGCCTGGCTAACAACTCCCTAAAGAATTGTAGTAAATAAAATGCTTGTTGTTCTAAGTTTTTTTTTTTTTTCTTTTTGAGACAGGATGTCACTACCCAATTCAGGCTGGCCTTGAGCTCACTTTGTAGCCCAGGCTGGTCTCGAACTCGCAATGATCCTCCTGCCACAGCCTCCCAAGTGCTAGAATTACAGGTGTGCACCACCACACCAGCTGTTCTAAGATTTCTAATTGTTTGGTGGCTTATCAGACAGCAACAGACAGCTACTGTAAATCTTAATTAACAGATTTTAATTTCAGTCCTAACTCAAGTTATATTATGAACAATTATGTCTACTAATAACGGCAGCAGCTAACTTATTAAGGCTTATTAGCCAGGCGTGGTGGCACATGTCCGTAATCCCAGCACTTGGGAGGCTGAGGCACAAGGATTGTTTGTGAGTTTGAGGCCTGCCTGGGCTACAAAGTGAGGTCAAGGCCAGCCCGAACTGCATAGCAAGTCCTTGTCTCAAAAAGACAAAAAAAAAAAAAAAAGAATTATATGCCAGATTTCTGCTAAACCTTATTATGAATTATCTTGTTTAATCTTCAAAGAGCAAAACTGGGGCAGAAACAACAAAGTGCTCTGCCCAGAGGCACAGGGCTCCTGGTAAAGCTGAGGGAAATGTTACTTTCAACTAGAGAGCTCAAGTTCTTAATTACTGCACTGCAATGGCTTCCTACTATCTGTGTTTGAGAACATTTCTCTAAGCTGAAGCCCAAGTACATACCTTAAAAATACACACACCTTTAGAAACTGAGGGCCAACTGCCAAGCAGCAGGGGCTGGGGATTTAGCTCAGCGCCACAGCGCCTGTCCGGCAAGCGCAAGGTCGTGAGTTCGATTCCCAGTACCAGGGGAA